CATATTGTGGCACACAAGGTAAGTTAACAGTCACATATTGTGGCACACAAGGTAAGTTAACAGTCACATATTGTGGCACACAAGGTAAGTTAACAATCACATATTGTGGCACACAACGTAAGTTAACAATCACATATTGTGGCACACAACGTAAGTTAACAACCACATATTGTAGCACACAACGTAAGTTAACAACCACATATTGTAGCACACAACGTAAGTTAACAACCACATCCTCAAACACACAAGTTTAGTTAAAGACCACATCCTGTGACACACAAGTTTAATTATCAACCAAATATTGTGACACACAAGCTTGGTTATCAACCAAATATTGTAGCACACAAGGTAAGTTAACAACCATATATTGTGGCACACAAGGTAAGTTAACAATCACATATTGTGGCACACAAGATAGGTTAACAATCACATAGTGGCACACAACGTAAGTTAACAACCACATCCTCAAACACACAAGTTTAGTTAAAGACCACATCCTGTGACACACAAACTTGGTTATCAACCAAATATTGTGACACACAAGCTTGGTTATCAACCAAATATTGTGACACACAAGCTTAGTTAACAACTGTATCCTGTGACACACAAGCTTAGTTAACAACCATATCCTGTGACACACAAGCTTAGTTAACAACCATATCCTGTGACACACAAGCCTAGTTAACAACCACATTCTCAAACACATAAACTGGGTTAATAACAATATTCTCCAATAAACAAACTTAGTTAACAACCATATCCTCTGACATACAAAAAATTGTTAGCAAATACATCTGACACACAAGCATATTTGAAAAATATATCCTCTGACACATAAGCTTAGTTAACAAACACATCCTCTGACACACAAGCTTATTTAACAAACACATCTTCCGACACACAAGCTTATTTAACAAACACATCTTCCGACACACAAGCTTATTTAACAAACACATCTTCCAACACACAAGCTTATTTAACAAACACATCTTCCGACACACAAGCTTATTTAACAAACACATCTTCTGACACACAATCTTATTTAACAAACACATCTTCCGACACACAATCTTATTTAACAAACACATCTTCCGACACACAATCTTATTTAACAAACACATCTTCCGACACACAAGCTTATTTAACAAACACATCTTCCGACACACAAGCTTATTTAACAAACACATATTCTGACACATTTGCTTAGTTAACAAGCACATCCTATGATACACAATGGTAATACCCTCTGACATGCAAGCATAGTTAATAAATATACCCTCTAAGCACAAGCTTAATTAATGACTATACCCTCTAACACACAAGCTTAATTAACGACTATACCGTCTAACACACAACAAGTAACTTTCCTTTATAATACATAAAACATACTCTCGCCCTGCCGCTCCTTTTCGAAACTGCATGTGTTTATATTAGATAACAAATTTCACCATCAAAACTCAGAAAGTCCTTCTCAAAACTAGAATGATCAATGACACAGAACCATTTTTTGTGGTCTCAACCTTAATGTGCCCATCAAATGTGGTACAAATCTGATTACACTTTACAAAGTTATTAACACAAAACTGCAAAAATGCCCTACCTCCTCACTATAAAAAATGCTTCGATGTGATCCAGAATCTGGATCTATATGTGGATCCAGACCAAATTTGGGAAGAACTGTCCCATACTGACTTCCCATCTTAAGTAAAATTTTTTGTGTACATTGATGTATTGGTTTTCGAGAAACATGAACAGATACACACACACACACACACACACACAAGGATTCAATTGCAGTACCCTTACCTCCCCACAAGGGGTGAGGGTAATTATAGAAAAATTTAAATCAAAATATCTCTAAAATCATTTACAAATGTATTAGCAAATCCATTTTGAAAGGACATTATTAGATGAAGCATCGTGGCATGAGTGTCCAAAGGATTTGAGCCTGTTTACTTATCCCCAAATTCGCTGTCAGTAATATGCTGAAGAAACAAATGAACATTGAAAATGTTAATATGGAATACTGGTCCTGTTACCTAAAATTAATCAATCCTTACATCTGAGTTTGAAGGCAACCTAAAATATGCTTTGAATATTGCAGTGTCATCCCAGGTCTGAAGTGTGGTAGTGTTAGCTTCATGGTGTGGGCCTGATTTTAGCTTGTTTGGATATGTCTGTACTATCCCTAGTCTAACGAGTGGTAGGCTTAGCATCATGATGTGGGCCTGTTTTGGTTTGAATATGACTGTTCAATTCCAGGTCTCAAGTACGGGGAAGTTAGCATCATTGTGTGGCCCTGTTTTATCCACTTTGGACTGGATCCACTTTAATTAATTAAGGAAGCCATGAATGTCTTGTTGTTTTGAGATAACATTATATTAAAGCCAACACTTCTTTCAAAATTAAAATGCATTATGCCATACTGCAAGCAAGTTCAGCAGTGTTTTGCAAAAAATACAACTGATAATTTATTTTATCCAACCAAAATCTTCATCCTGAATTTAATTCAACTGCTCTGGGACATTTTGAAATTCATTCTGAGAGACACTGCTACTTATTTAGTAGTTGGTTTGCACCAGAAGTGAGAGTATTTCACAAGCTGTAGTAATGGAGTCCATTCTGTAGTTAATGCCAGAGGAGGCATTCTCAAGATGTGTTGTCCTATATCTCAAAATACTTAAAAATTTACTTAAGATTTAATTAGCCTTAAAAGAATTTCCAGACAGTTATAAAGGGATGCTGGGAAGTTATAAGATTTGTTGTTAACATTTATTTTGGCTACAAATCTTTGTCGTTGTTACAATCAAAATGTTACCCATCTGTTTATCTGTTAAGTGTAATACAACAATGCTATTCAATACTCCAGAAATGCATAAAGTAGTCATCTCTAAGCTGTTTATTGTTGAAATCTAATACTACAATGATATTCAAGACTCCAGAAATGCATAAACTAGTCATCTCCAAGCAGCTTGTTGTTGAAATCTAATAAAACAATGCTATTCAAAAACCTAGAAATGTATAAACTAGTCATTAGGAATCATGCAAAACTTTTATGTAATAACTAAACACATGTGATTTGTCATTTTCTGAATTAGTTAGTAACTTTTATTCACTTCGACTTACGCTACTTGGAAGAACCCACGTAAGGTCAGCTCCTTCCACAAAAGCCTGAAGTAGCTGGTACAGATGCTTGGAGGTCACAGCAAGTTCAAGGTCATTTCTAAGGTCTCTTTCATCAGAACATGTCCTGATGGCAAACTTCTTTTCCACATATTTTGACCTAATGAACTCGCACCTTTCATCCCTAGAAGTTTAAAACTAAATAAATAACCAAACTAGCCTTCTGATGTCACAAAAAAACTGTATTATCCAATTACATTTCCTTTTAACTATTAGTTAAAACCTTTCAGTATGTCTTATCTGAAATAAAGAAATGTAAACAACTGGACATCATGTCCAAGTTTGAAAACAGGAAAACATTCAAGAATCTAAGACAAATCATTCAGCAAGTGACAAAAAACATAGTTATGTACCACAATGGCAAAACCCAACACTAAACACAACATTAGTGAATCATGAACTTCTAGCAGCTACATGACTTGTGAAATGAGATACAACATTTTAGTTTACATTATAGTAATGACAATCTAGTAGTGAACTGTGAAATGAGTTACAACATTTTAGTTTACATTATACTAATGACAGTCTAGTAGTGACTTGTGAAATGAGTTACATTTTAGTTTACATTATACTTTGTAACTCATTTCACAGTTCACTACTAGATTGTCATTTTTTTTTAGTTTACATTATACTAATGACAGTCTAATGGTGACTTGTGAAATGAGTTACACTTTTTTTAGTTTACATTATACTAATGACAGTCTAGTGGTGACTTGTGAAATCAGTTACAACATTTTAGTTTACATTATACTAATGACAGTCTAGTAGTGAACTGTGAAATGAGTTACAACATTTTAGTTTACATTATAGAAATGACAGTCTAGTAGCGACCTGTGAAATGAGTTACAACATTTTAGTTTACATTATACTAATGACAATCTAGTAGCGACCTGTGAAATGAGTTACAACATTTTAGTTTACATTATACTAATGACAATCTAGTAGTGACTTGTGAAATGAGTTACAACATTTTAGTTTACATTATACCAGTAATTTTATTCATTACCTTGATGCTTTAATATAGCATTCTTCACACATCAGTAATATTATGATCACGTCTCATTGTACAAAAATAAATCTATTACAGAAAAAATAATTGTTCCAGAACTTCATAATATTTATAAATTAAATTGAGTGTGTAAAGTTTGGAATGCCAAGTATGTACTTTGTGTTTCATGATTTGATATTTTTATTTTGCATTTCATGGTATACAAAAACAAAGCCTTACATGGAACTGTAAGGGGAAGGCTTCCTGAACTGTGTTGCCTCCAGCACATCATTAAACCCTGCATTACTCATTACTCTGGCTAGCTGTAAAGTGGAAGAAAGTATGGTTACAATTTACTGTATACAGTATAAAACCAATATTTCCCAATTATATGTCTTTAAATGTTTTACTAAGAACATTACTGACAGGGAATTTGCAAAGCTAAAGTTAAAAAAAATTTGAAACATATACACAAAAAACTAACTACAATAGCTTGTACATACAACATGTACAACCCTTTTACAGAACGGTTTGTCTTTAACTCTTTTGAGACGGGTCATAGGTGAAAGGCCATATCATCTCGTTTGTCGACTCCCATTCAAAAGTTTATTGTACTACTATTTCATGAATTTATGTCAATAAGTTTGGTATCAAACTGTAGATTATAATTCAAATTTTCAAACTATACATTACTCAATTTCTTAACTTAATGTAAATATATAAAACAAAACACAGATAAACATCGACTTTTGTATGTCACGTGGTATGTTGAATGCAGCACTGGTTCAAAGTCTGTAGTTTCATATGAATTAGAAACTCGTATCACAAATATTTACAAGCAACAATATAAAATAAGAAGGTCTTACCTTTTCTGTTTGCTAAGATATTGCTCATGTAATAAATTAAACACAGTTGCACCCCACCCACCTCTTTTCATTTTTGGAAATACTCCCTTATATACACTTACTTCTATATATGACATGAATAACCAATCAGAGCTCAGAATGTCCCCTAGTGGTTTTCTCAGCCTTTCTAATGTGGCAAGCACTATTTCTTTCTTTTGAAGCAGAATTTCAATAATGTAGCTTGTATCTTTAGTTTGCTTGAAATTTCATATTTTTTAGACCCAAATACAGCTTAGTTACTAAGGTTGATAAATTACAGTTGAATTCTATGGTATTGATGTAGTAATTTAAGATTTTTTAGTTATTCAAAAGTATATATAAAACCTAAAAAGAAATATTTTGCTTCATATCCTCCACATGCAAAATTTTTAAAGGCTTAGCAACCTACATCAAGCAGCAACCAATTACAAAGGTTGTACTTCTTTATTTACTGTTCTATGTTAGAAAAAATATGTTTAAGAACTTGTTTCAAAATAGCTATAATCTATATACATATATAATGTATAATAATTGAAATGTGACTGTATTTTCCAAAATACTAGTCAACCAAAACATAGCCAAGACAAGTTACTTTGTACCAAATTAAGAGCAGAAAAAAGTGCTAAGTTGGAATGAAACTCACCAACAGTTGAGAGGTTCCTATGTTATCAAGTGTGAGAGACTGAATTCTCGAGATGTGGACTCCCAAGTCACGGTGGATACCCGAGCATTCTATACATGTTAGAATCCCAAAATTTGTGGATAACCAGGTTGGATCTAAATCAAGGAATTCTCAAAAGAATCCTGTTATCCAAACTAATATTCACAGAATACATTAAAACAGCAACAATGATCTTTATAATACACACTATAAAATAAAAAAGAATGTAAAGAAAATAAAAAAACTTTGAATTAACCTACACAGTAGTAAATAATATTCCTGTAAGGCCACCTACATCAGTACAACTATTTGATATTTTGTCATACATGCCCACGATCACATGAAAGTGTCCTTGAAGATTGGTACTCCACTTCCAATTCCAATTGTTTAAACCAATTTAAAATCTTAGTCACTGATACATCAAAACTTGAACTTCTCACAAAAAATATCTTAAACTTGTCCTGCTTTTAACAACTACTTGTTCTTCTAACAATTAAAATTATTTAACTTGTCCTGCTTTTAACAACTACTTGTTCTTCTAACAATTAAAATTATTTAACTTGCCCTGCTTTTAACAACTACTTGTTCTTCTAACAATTAAAATTATTTAACTTGTCCTGCTTTTAACAACTACTTGTTCTTCTAACAATTAAAATTATTTAACTTGTCCTGCTTTTAACAACTACTTGTTCTTCTAACAATTAAAATTATTTAACTTGTCCTGCTTTTAACAACTACTTGTTCTTCTAACAATTAAAATTATTTAACTTGTCCTGCTTTTAACCACAACCTGTTATTCAAACAACTAAAATTATTTTAACTTGTCTATCTTGTGGCCTGCTAATTTTGTCAATTTAATTTATTTCTTACAGACTAGTTTAATGTTTTAACTTGTTATTGTGTTAGTAGAAAAATCATTGTTTATATATAAATATATACACACATCCTTAAATAGTACTAATTTTTTATTCTGTATAACACAATGAAGATCACTTAAATACTTTCCAACATGTGTGTGTAAATAAATGTTATTCATTGCATCAGTCACATTTATCTTTATTTAAAAACTACATTTCCTTTCCTATGAACCAATATTTATCCTATGCTTCAAAATAAATAAAACTAAATATTTATATATATACTGTTGTAAAAACTATTTATCAAATATATATATATATATATATGTTTTAAAATTACATTTATGTATTGTACTAGCATATAGCCTATCAAGAATGATGGGGCAAGTACTAACACCCCTACCCCATAGTACACCCTAACCTCACATTTAATAGCTAACTGAAATAAATAAATCAAGCCTGACTAACAGAGAAGCAGAAAAGTGCAGTCGAGGCAGTCAAGCATTGGTTAATACCTTTGTGAGCCAATCAAAATTAAGATCATTCATGAAATGAATTTGTGGCATATTTATAGAATAATTATTGGTAAAAATCAGTTAGATTAACTACATCTAATATATAGAAAAGCCAGTGTGTTTTGCTAACACCGCATTCCACCAATGGCTTTTATGTCATGTTGCTTAGCAAGAAAATAACCTAATATTATTGTTAGTCTATGTACTGAAAGTATAAAATGAAATGTATAGACAACAAAACTGGAAAGATATTTGTTGATTTCTTAAATTAGAGTCTCCGTTGATTAAAGATGTTTGTTTTTTATTAAAAATGTTAGTGATATAACAGAAATGATTTAAGCATAAAATTTAATCAATATTTTTACTTTCATGATAAATTTTGGCTGTTATGACTCCTCCTATTTCGAGAAACCAAGAGAAATAAAGCATAACATCACACACAGATGGACTTTTGTATAGGTTAGATTTTAGAAATTTATATATATATAATTTTTAATACTAATAATAAATATCATATAGAACATTTTGATATCCAAAATTAACAGGTCTTTAAAATTTTCTCATATAAAAACATTTTCTTGAGTTCTCATTTACCTTTGGTGGTATTACAGTCACAGCAACGATCATTTCCTGGAAGTCGCTGAATTTGTTGTATAATACTTTGTTGGAGTTCAAAAAGACTATGGTTTAATTTGTCTCCATCAGGCTGCCCAGTGTCATCAAAAGTTTTCCGCAAGGCCCCTTCTTTACAGTTGACCAGGACTGACATCCACCTGTTACAAAATTCAAGCTTAACTTTTCCTACTCCAGAAACACTAACTATTACTACATATTATGGTTTTAAACTAAAAGTTATATTGTTTCTAAATTGATGAATATCTTGATTCAACCCATTCACTGCAGCTGTCACATATATGGGTTGGAAATTTTTCTTTTGTACACTGCAACTGTGCCTTACATGGATTTTGTTGACATCATATGGAGTACTGGCGAGAAAAGGCAAAAAATGATTCACCCTTTGTTCAGTAACAATACTTGGATAGAGAGTGCCTCAACACTCATATATATACTCTTTACCAGTTCATGTGGGAAATTTGTCAAATTAGGCTTATCAAAAATACCAAACAAGTAAAACAAAACAAAGAAATAGAAAAATAAAACACAAATAAAGAAGTACAAAAAACTTGTAAACACAGTGAAAAATGGATGTGTTCAATGTGATCTATAAACAAAGTGAAAGACGGTTATATTCCACATGGTCTAGTGGGAATATTCCATGCAGTCTAGTTAAGAGATCTGGAAGGTGTAAACATAATGAAAGATGGTGATATTCCACATGGCCTAGTAAAGAGATCTGGAAGGTGTAAACATTATGACAGATGGGAATATTCCATGCGGTCTAGTTAAGAGATCTGGAAGGTGTAAACATAATGAAAGATGGTGATATTCCACATGGCCTAGTAAAGAGATCTGGAAGGTGTAAACATTATGACAGATGGGAATATTCCATGCGGTCTAGTTAAGATGGTTTTGATAAGCTAACAGAATATTAATAAGTAGGATTTCTTAATCTTCAAGTTACTCATTTATTGAAAGCCCCAATAATCAATTCTATATACTTTATATTCCTTTGAACCACCTTAACATTTTTTTAACTTACATAGAAACATCACAATAATGCATTTAAACTCTCCATCACAAATAGAAAAGACAATCTCATTTATAGCAAGATGAAAACTTGGAGAAACAAAACAGATTCTAAAACCTTACTGAATAAAAATTTATATGGAGTAAAACTGGTTTCTCCCTAAAACAAGTACATTTCTTCTTCGAACTTTAAGAACCTAAAGCAGACATCAGTAACTCAAGTGTGAACATACGCTTCCATTTCTCCTTCATCTTCTGCTTGAAAGTGGTATGTTCTGTTATCTGTTGAAAAAATAAAATTAAAAATATTTTCTAAAACTCAAAGTATTACTATTTAAAAAATGCATAAATAACAAAAAAAAAGGTATCAGAGTGTCTTAATCATTCAACACTGGTAATGTATATCGAAATCTTCCTATTAGTATGATATTACATTACTGATGTAGAATGAAACCATATGTTTACATAACACAACATAAGTAATCTATATATATAAAAGAGGAAGTTTGTTTATTTTGTTCCCTATAGGAAACCAAATGGTTCAACTTACAAATTTTAAAATAACTTCATAATAACCAGTTTTTACAAGAAATTTAATGGTGCTTTTATTTTGTATTTGGTGTAGTATTTAGTGACGAAATTGACAATAAATGATTATTGTGCCATTTTTTTGTAATAAGCATACAAACATAATCACGTTTTACACATAGAAAGCATTATGGCGGGAGACACTCAGATAACCTTGCTGTCAATTCAGCATTTCCAAAAATAGTTTTATTTAAATAGTGCTAAGTGATTTAGTAGCTTTGTGAATTACAAATTATTGTTTAGTGATACAGGTGATTATGCCACCCAAGAAACACCCTTTCTATGGAAAGTCTTCTGTCGCTAAAAGAATGCAAGCACAAAGAGCAGCTGAAACAGAAGAACGCAATCAAAGACTTCAGTCACAAGCTGCAAGACAGGCTGCTCAAATACAGGAAGAGACTTTGGAACAACGTAAAGTTAGACTTCGAGCTCAAACTGAAAGGCAGGCTACTCGAAGACAACAAGAAATTGTTGAACAGCATGAAGCCAGAGTTCAGTCAGAATCATCAAGGCAAGCTGGATATAGACAACAAGAAACTTCTGAACAATGTCAAACCAGACATCAAGCACAAAAATTAAGACAAATAACTTACAGAGAGCAAGAAAC